TACAAGCAAATGCTTCGTGCACCAAAACAATAAGAAATACTGGGCGAAACTTAATGCAAATAGCATCAAAGTAAAACTTCATTTGTATAATCTCTTGCTTAGATGCTTGGATGGTCTGTCCTCACTGGTTGCACGGGCCTCAGCACAATTTCCGTTTTTCGGAGTTTTGCTGGCGAAGCCATTGCGGTTCTTTGGAGTTCCGAGGTCATCCTAGCCAAAGTCTGTCCCAGGTCGTCACCATCACAGGCAATCGCCACCCTTGTGGATCAAAGGGAGATTTGCCACCATGCGATTAGTTTGATACCCATGACGGTGGTAGATTCTGGTATTGGTTTACTCTTAGCTGGGTTTCTTGATGGAAACGCCGGATTGCTTCCCAGTCTAGAAGGCTCTGACGGGGAGACGAATTGACCCGCTGTACATCGCAGCCCGACGTCCGGGAACACCTCCGAGTCACGATGAGGCGTTAAATCCTTAGGAGGAACATAATCCACACAAAGATAAAATCCTTTTACCTTAAGCAAATTAAGTTTCTTCACTATTATGTCCACCAAAAGGATATTTTACTACAATTCGACTATATAAAAAGGCGACATCTCCAGTCACTAGTATAGTTTTGTTTACCGTGGGGTCTGATGTATGATTTGATTCGACAACAAATTAGGGTAATCTGAGATTTTAAGGTTATGTGTCCAAGATTATGCGCGCCAATTCCCATCTCTGCTCCAATGAATTTGGAGCGCCAAGATCGATAAGAATCTGTTTTGAAATTATTGCTTGTCAATACATAGGACGCTGGACATCGCGGTAATGTGGGGTCTAAAGTTTGTTCAACGCAACGGCTAATATCTTCCCTATTAACGCCAGTTTTCCTTTTGAATATTTGTTTTAGAAACCCGTGAAGCAATCAATGTTCTCTAGAACTGTTCACGTTATTTAACTGTAAGCTAATTTAATTAGCTTAGTTCTAATTAGGAGAAGTCTGGTGTTCTTTTAGGTTATCATTCTGGCTTGATTTGACTTAAGTAACTTCTTGTGATGAAACCTCAGATTTCCGTTTTCCTTTCAAATGTTTCTTTTTGAAGCTTGTGAATCAATCAATATTGTCTGGAACTCTTCGCGTTATTTAATTGTGTTTAAAGAACTTTAGCATCCCCTTGGCTTGATTTGACACACTAGATAACTTCTTGTGGTGAAACCTCTGAAGTTATTTTTTTCGTTTTCCACGTGAATGTAAATGTTTGATTTTTTTGGTCACTTATTTCCTATGCTTCCAGAGGGTCACTCGTTCTGCTGCCAACTTAGACTCGATTTCTTTAGGGAACATGGAAAGGATCGAAGTGGGAATGCACGTCGACATTCAGAGGTTTGTGAGCGCTTTCGGTCGTATGGTCTGATTCTGCATGGGGTATTAAACTCACTAGGCAAGTTTGATCTTAGAGGCAAGGAGTTGATGTTCATCTAAATTTTCACACTCCACTACCATGTGCATATCATACTAGTTCACACAAAATTCTTTTAAAGATCTGATGGCCGAGTGCATGGTGCGGTTGTCTCTCAGCTCAAACCCGAACGCAAAGCAGTGCTGGTGGAATGGTTCGAGAAGGCAGTTTATTTGGCTATCGATTGATTTTTTATTAATAGTATCCCCAATAAGGGTTCGAAGAACGGGAATATTTGAATACTGATCACCTGTGGATGCTAATGAGGAGTCGGATATGTCACATGAGTAGCACATCTTAAAAGGAAGGTTTTTCTAGAAAATTAAACAATTGCATTGGTACTGAGCCCTCCCATCTGAACTGGTAATGATAATCAATCGATAGAATCGTTATATCTATTGTTCGTTTCCCTGTTCTGAACACCTATTAGGGAAAAGTAGTGTTCGAGAAGGAATATTTCGTCCTAGTGAAAGGCCACTTAGGGAAAGACTAATGTTTGATCCAGTCTATAGGTGTTCAGAGATTATCCCAGAGGATTCTATGTTGCTAGGTTATAATTTTATAACTAATCTTGAATGTAAAGTCAAGTTTTTGTTTATTTCCTTGAGTTCTTTTCCTGTTGATGCGGTTGCACCACGACTAGGACTACCCACCTAGCCTTTGATAAAACTTTAGAGTTTTTGAAAAAGCAAAAGGAGAATGTACATTGGCAGGTGAAAGTATATGGCTTTTAATTTTTCTGTAGTCAAACATTGGATATGTTAAATCTTTGTCGAAGGTGAGCCAGGTTATATGTCATAGTTAAATTTCATAGTTAAAAGTAAAAGCCGGTATATTTATTTATATGTTCTTATGAAGTGATCTTGTTGAGCTGATGCGAACTTGGTAAAAGTTGTCGTTGTTATTCTCGAGTCCCAATCGTAGCAGGACGGATCTGAGGAAGGCGAAATCGCCGAAACGACAATGACCAACAACAACAACAACGACAAAGAAAACTTACGAACCTCGCATCAGCTCAACATGATAAGTTTAAAAGAACATGTAAGTAGACAAATGAACTATTTATGCAGAGGTTTGTAGAAACTCTGTCTTTTGAATCTTAACCCTTTTATTTATTGCTTTTTCTTTTTAATGGCAGGGTATGTTGCGAAATATAACTCGTATATAAAGCTGAGATATTTGCAAAACTTCGGACCGCAGGTGTATGCGGTGGGGAACGAACCCGCGCTGTTGTACTTACCGAGGAGCAGCGCACTTCACCACCACACCATCCGGGTCCTTCGTTTTGACTGTCTCTCAGCTGGTTCTATCGATCTTTTTTGCCACCGAGACCTCGGCACCGCAGGAAACCACAGTGGTTAAACCAGCAAAACTTTGACGGGGCAGAGATTGTGCTGGTGGCATACATCAGTATGCCATTTACAGTTAGAAGCATCATAGATTAACGTGGGTAATTTTTTTGCCGTAGTGTTCTGAGGTTGCAATATATGTTAACCATCCTCGACCCTGTTGCTTTCCTGCAACTGTTGATAACATTTGCAAAACTCCGAACCACAGGTGTCTAAGGTGGGGAACGAACTCGCTATTGTCCTTTCCGGTGAGTAACGCGTTCACCACCGCGCCATGTGGGTCCTTCGTTTCGCCTGTCGCTCAGCTACTTCTATCGATCTGAGCCGTCAACAATCACCCGTTAGCAGGATTGATCTGGGGAGCCCACATCGGCATTGAACCCAGTTAAGCTGAGGCTGTAGTTGAAATTACAATGTTTTACTAGCTGAGAAACAGGCGAAACGAAGGACCCGCATGGCGCGGTGGTGAACACGTTACTGCCTGGAAAAGACAATAGAGTGTTCGTTCTCCACCTTAGACACTTGTGGTCCAAAGTGTTGCAAATATCTCAGCAACATTGTGGTTGTATTTCGCTTAGGACGCTGCCGTGGAAATTGTAGTAGGTAGAAAATAAAAAGTAAAACATGTTGATAACATTGTTTTAAATTTTATTTACTGCCTAGCAAGACGGGATACGATTTGAAATACACCATAGGAGGGCTGAGATATGAAGAGAACTCGGTACGTCGTGTGTTGTTCCAATGGCTATTACCGTTACTACGAGCCCACATGGTCCGCACCACACCAACCGAACACCTGCTTTGTCTTTATATCAGCGTTTTTTGTCGTTAGCACTTCTTCAACTTGATTTCTTGGGGACCATAGGCCTTGAGAGAGTTGTGAGAGAGGTGTTTTATTTTTGGCACCAATATTTCAAAAAAAAAACGGTAAAAAATTGAAAGTCTGAAGAGAAGTGCGTAATTCGGCAATGTTGCCGATGAATTCGAGGACACTATTCCATCGTGCTGAGGTGATGCATTCTTAGTTGCTTTATTGCTCAAGGCGACAGTAAACTGAAATTTATGAATTCTAGCAAGTAATAATATGTTGCTTTAAAGTTGAAGGGACGACTTTTCCTTTCTGTGATTTGTTGTAAATGCACGTCATCACGAGTGTGCTAACATGTTAATTATTTCTTTCCGACAAGATTTTAGTGATACAATGCATTTCGGGATCTTGTAGAAAAGAAAATAGTTCAGTGAAAGTGACCTTAGGACCTTGGTAGTAGTCATTTTTCAGGGCGAAACAAAAGGGAAAGAGATTGATCTTGTCTCACTGTTGGCTATTAATCCTACTCTAAAAGGAAAAGATTCGTTATCGAAGACGTTGATTCAGTCCCATAAAGTGAGTGGTTTTTAACTTCTGTCAGTGTTCCTCTCATTTTCTTTGCTGGACGGTTTTTCGATTCGTTTGTGAAGTTCAGTTTCAGGAGAACAATGATGAGAATGAAATGCTATACGACATGCAAATTCCTCGTCTGAATAAGAAAGTAGTTCCGAATCATCGCAATCATTCTGAGTCCACCTCTTCTTCATCAGCCGCTGTGCGGTAAGCTGATTTTCGAAGCGATCTCCCAAGCAAGTAGAATAGTACAAGAAGCATCTGAATAGCTTGCTCGTGCTGTTCACAGACTGTGACGATAACATTCAAAAAGGGGGCGCGTGTGGCGCAGTGGTATGAGGTGCTCTGCGACACATATAGGACCGATCCTCGCTCCTGTGGCTCATCAAGTCTTCCATCATTCCGAGGTCGGTAAATTGTTACCAGACTTGTGTGGGAGGATAGCAGCACTGGCTCGACACATCCGTAGAGCACCGCAAGTCATTGTGAAGGCCAGATATGCAATCAAACATCTCTAACGATGCTTAATGAGGGTCAAATGCATGGCACATCCTTCAGGGATTGATGAACGTCGAGAGCTTTGTCCTTTTTTTAACATTTAGAAATAGAAATGTTGATTATTCTCGATTTTTTTACTTGGTCATAAATGTGAATATCGGAGCAAAATGATTCATTTAGCCATTCTTTATTACTGGATCGTATTGGTAGCGGTAATGACTTGACAACATTGTTAAATGAGGAAGCTACGATCATCCAGCCTCCTACTCATCGCGCCGCACCTCGTGGTTTAGTTGCCCCACAGAAGATCACGACTGGCAAGTTCTAGAAATGCTTTACAAAGCTTACGCTGTTTCATTACTATCCATTTTTGAATGTGATGTTTGTCATGAATTATCGCCAGTTCTAGCTTCAACTAAGCCAGCGACGGGTAGTGCGGCCACCACTCCAGTAGACCGCATTCCCCATCCATCGAATATGGTTCGATCATCAGAAATGGAAGGTTGTTACTATGGAAACATATTCCTTCCATAATGTCTTCCTTATGGGATCAGACTTATAGATTTAAACCCTGCTCCTGCAATTGCCGAACAAAAAGTCAAGTCTTCAACTGTCGCTAATATTGAGAGGTTGCAAAAAGAACGTGAGGAACGAAGAGCTCAGCAGGTTAGCAAGGTTTATTGCTTCTGCTGATAACCACCTTTTTGTACTCTGCGTAGCATTTGCATTTAGAAAGCTCCAGAAAAAATCCGTTTAGAATCATGTGAAAAGACAGAAGGAGATAGAGAAGAGCATTGATCCTGGTAATCCAAATTACCAGTTTTTGCTGATGATAAGAGAGTATCAGTCACAGGTCGGTATTTCAACGTCATTTGGCTTTCTAGTGTTCTTTTGAAATATGGTGATCACGAGCCTGTTACTCACACAACTATGTGGGGCGTCCCTGATAATGGATAAGTCTAAAGCGAGGGTCATAACGGACAAGACCCCTGTTTCTTTTCACTCTATAAGAAAGAACGACATGATGCAAGGGTTCACTGCTTGCTACATTCTTCGAATTGGTTGAGCCCACTTGGTAACACTAGTTTGAGGGGGTTATTTATTATACAAAATCTAGTACTTGTGACTGATTTAGACACTTGAATATTAATAAGATTATTGAAGATGTGCAGGTGACGATGAAGGACTCATTTATCTGTTCTCTCAGTGAAATTAACTTGTCTTGCCATATATTTCATGAGGTTTCTTCAGATAGACTACCGTCCTCTCAAAATGACTGATCATGTGGTGGATAACCGTATTTCTGTTTGTGTCAGAAAACGTCCTCTCAACAAAAAGGAAATCAGCAGAAAGGAAATCGAGGTATCACATTTGTAGTATTTTCTTTTCGTTATCGAAGCATCCATCCAATGGTTTACTGCCTCATCGTGGCTGGAGGTGTTCCTGGGTGTCGGGCTGCGGTATACAGCGGAGGTGTTCATCCTCCCGGTAGGGTCTCCTAAGCTGAGAAGGAGTCCGTTTTCATCAGGAAGTTTAGCTAAGAGTAAACCAATACCAGGATTCGTCACCGTCCTGATATCAAAGTGGCATTGTGACAAATCTCCCTCTGATCCACAAGGGCGGCAACTGTCTGTGGTGGTGACAAGCTGTGGCAGACTTTGTCCTGGCTGACTTCAGGTAACCACGATGGCTAAACCAGCAAAACTCCGAAAAAAGTGGAGATTATGCTGTGGTCCGCACAATCACTAAGGACGGGCCATCCAAGTATGTATCCAAGTATTGCAGCATCACAACTTTACCAAAAAGATTTTTTGAAGCCGTGATTGTAGCGATAGTTCTTTGTAACCATTGTTTACCACACTAAATACATTGTTGGCATTTTTGTGCGGTGTTAAAGAAGTTTTTAGGTAATCACAATTCCGAACCGCGACCATTTGATCGTTCATCAGCCACAAGTTAAGGTTGATCTCACGAAGTACTTAGATAATCAAAAGTTTCGGTTTGATTATACATTTGATGAAAACACGTCTAACGAAATGGTCTATAAGTAAGTCGTTTACTGATGTCTCTTAATGAGTTTTTTATCCATTTTTTTTGTCCGAATTTTGTCCGATTTCATCAATTACATCATAGAAAGGTGATGGAAAATCCATTACTGTTTTCCTTTAGATTTACTGCTCAACCTCTAGTTAAAACCATTTTCGAGCAAGGATTTGCCACTTGCTTCGCCTATGGGCAGACGGGTTCTGGAAAGACACACACAATGGGTGGAGATTTCACAGGCAGGAACCAGGCCCGTTTTTGTGTTTCCACCTTACTTTATAAATATGTATATATACATGTATACACATATGCACATATATATATGAATATATACATATTGTGTATGTACATGTACACGTATGTGTTTATATATGGTTAGCAAGAAACTTTGAAAGTAACGGTAAATAAATTGATTTGATAACAACCTTATGATATTTCGAAACTGACTTTCTCTAAACCTCGGTGTGACTAATCAATATGTATTCTTTCTTGATAAGCTTGCACGAGGTTGATAAATATATTTATTTTCGGCTAACGTTTCGACGTCTTCGTCTTCCTCAGAGCCGATGATTCGAGTCGATGGTCCATGATTGTTGTTCGTCTCGACGTTGCAGCTTCGCCTTCGTGTCGAGCCAGGTCTTCCTCAGTGAAGAAAGAATACATATTGATTAGTCACACCGAGGTTTAGAGAAAGTCGGTTTCGAAATATTATTACTACGCTTTGTGTTAGCTGATAAAAACACCGACTTCTGCACGATGTGCGCAATGATGTATGCCCGGAAGAAACACAAGTTGTTACCACCGGACATTATCATTATATATCCGCCATCAGCATCGTGTATAAAAGGGCATCACTGAGTGAGGATGCCTCATTCGAGAAGATGGATCACTGAGGAAGATCTGGCTCGACACGAAGGCGAAGACGCAACGTCGAGACGAACAACAATCATGGACCATCGATTCGGATCATCGGCTCTGAGGAAGACGAAGACGTCGAAACGTTAGCCGAAAATAAGTATATTTATCAACCTCGTGCAAGCTTATCAAGAAAGAATAAACAACCTTATGTTTCCTCAAGAGGACAATGAATTATTTATTACTGTCGAGGTTAGTAAAAAGTTGGTATTGGGAGTGTTAAAAGTAGTAGAAGAACAGTTTTAGAACTGTGCTGGAGGGATCTATGCTCTAACGGCAAGTGATGTTTTCAAGATGCAGCACTCGCAACATTATAAGAAGTTGAATCTGTCTGTAAGCTGTAGTTTTTTCGAGATCTACGGAGGAAAGGTATATTCCGATTCTGTTTTCTGTGGTGTACGGAAACGCAAGATTTTAACGGATTGATTTAGGTGTTTGATCTATTGAAACATAAAACTCTTTTGCGAGTACTAGAAGACGGTAAAAAAGAAGTGCAAGTTGTCGGTCTTCAAGAGGTGTCGGTCTCTTGTGAGAGTGATGTTAGTTTCTTCTTTGTGTGATTTCATTTTAAACTCTCATTTTCATAACCTTATGTCCTCATCTACAAACCATTTTATAGAGTTGAGTTTAAAAAAGAGACTACTAAATTTGAGGTCGGATGGAGCGGATTGGATCCAACATGTTTGATTATTACCTTCCCAAGAGTATCATAGTAATGAAACATTGATAGTCGTCTACCAAGAAGAAGTTCAAAAATTGTTCTTTAGCGCAGAAATTTATGATTGCATTTTTTATGACTAGCGAAATTTGTAATATTACCACCACAAGTGCTTACCTCAGTCGTCTTCTTTCTCCATTCTTCATTTGTTGCTTTGCTATGCTCTCTCTTAATCATGTCTGGTCTCGATATTTAAGTTTAATCTGCTTTCAATGAGCTGAAGCGAAGAGCATTCATGGAAGAAAACCGCCTCGCGCTCATATTCTTCATTAGCAGTAAAAAATAAATTTTTCTTTAAATTGTTTTGTCTACAGATATTTCTAGATATTAACACCTACACGACGTCATGACCCCTGTAAGCGTTATAAGATGCGATAACATCGTTCGCTTTAGCCTTTTTAGATAATCATCTCAGATAATAGTGGATTACCGTGAGGACTAGTAGAATCTAGATATCCTTGCCGACAAAATCGGTTATTTTACCAAGTCTGAGTAGTTGCAGCCATGTAACTTACTTTTTCACTTTTCTTTAGTCAAAAGGCTGGTGTTTCAAGCAAGGCACCCGAACAAGCGGAATTTCGTCTAACAGCGCACAATTACGCTCTTAGCAAATTGGTAATTTTTGTGGCTGACGTGCGAAATTTTGAACATTCAAACTTTTCCAAATTTTTGAAAATTGTAGGTCTAAAGAAGTTTAGATTTTGGGAAAGTATTCCTGAAAAATTTTATTCACCTTTGCGCAACGTCAAAGTGTCTGCTACTAGTCTTTGGAGTTCTCGTCTTCTCCGCGTGTCCATTAATGGAAAAATTGTCGTCTGCTGTTGTAAAATCAGAGTTTTCTTATAATGGCTAATAACGCTTAATACAACTGGGTGCTCATTGATAGACCAAAGTCAACATTTTCTGGCAAACACCGAGCACAAGTGTTAAAACGCCTTGTGTTACTGTATGAATGACAGTTCACGTCAGCAAACTGTTATCTAACCTGTGGAACTACCAACAAACTCGAGCTTGATGCAACCTCTACCCTCCTTTAGTTTCGATGTCGTGCCTTCATAATATCGCTTATTCGGTAGATTCATAGAAATGTTGACTGATCACTCCCAAGGCTGTCGTTTAACCATTTATCTAAATATGATATTAATAGGAAGTAGAAAATGTACTTTTAGTTTTTAACATTTTACACGAAAGTGCGCATTTACCAACAAGAACGATTCATTGAGGAACTTCAACACGTCCTGCTTCTTGAAGTACTTTCACGCACTAGACATGACTTTATCCAGGAAAGAAATGTGCAAAAATAGGTCTTATGGGTTCCATAAAACAAGGAATTTCATCTCGGTAGGATAGAAGATTATATGTTTTTGCAAGCTGAAATTTATAGGTAAATTTATAGTAGCCTTTGTTGCAACTGATAAGGTTTAGTAGAAGCTGGAATATACTTGCTTGGATGACCCGACTTCACTGGTGGTGTGGGACCGGGCTTAATTCCCATTGGTTTATCTCTTGAGCAATTGTTGTTCATAGTGGATGTCTGCTTCGAGCATAGTGACGTCTATGGGGCCCATCCGAATTTTTTAAAAGCGCATCCATCTGCAAACGCAAATGGTTCGCGTCAACCACGTTGTTTGGGTGGTCTTCAAAGGTGACGCATACATTCTGTTGAAGTCCACTCCACTGTTCTTTTCGTCCATCTGTTCCATGTCATTATTATTATGTGACTGGTGCATCTGTGTTTTTCTATCGCTGCATACTCCCTGCGATCCCTAACATAGAATAGCTTTCGAAGATCTGAGGTGCGCATTCCAGCTAGGTGCTGTGAGTGTCGATTATTTTCCAGAAGACTGATTCAGGCGCTCTGTAAGTGGTACGCAGATTTCTTGACATAGTTGAAGTATTAGTCCACATCTCAGCTGCGAAGCGGAGCGCGGAGAAATGCTGGTAAAGTTAAAAGCGGTCATTTGCGCGTCTGACTCCCGTATAGGTTATATCGTCGTAAATGTGAATCATTGGGCATTTATAGTATTACAGGGTCGCTCTAGTCTCAAAAATTGTAAGCACAATTTTTTTTCTGGCGGTTAATTTTGGACTTCTTCTTGAAAGTTTACTATAGATGTTTCTTATACTCTGAAGATACCCTTAAGAATAAAATGGTCGAATCTATCGGGTACATTTAAACATACCAGTTCATTGGTTTGCGTAAGATCATGAGCTTAAAGGATAGTGTATGTGACTTATAACTCATTCTTAAACTCTCTTATGGGCATAAAAACTTATGCAGCGATGTGAAATACGTTGAATTAGGGCATATTTATCTTACGATTTACCTTTATTTGCTGCACTTTTTTATTCATAGCAGAGCATTACGTGGAATTCTTTGCGCTTTTCTCACCTGAGGTTCCGAGTTTTGTTAGTATCTCAGCATCCTTGTTGTCGTTTATTCGTTATTGTTTAACAGCCGCTAAAGGAATAATAACGATATTTGTTGTATTAAAGAATATATATTCTTGATTCTTAGGTTCTGGGGTTGATTCGACAGGGTACTGACATGCGTACAGCTGGTACAACGTCTGCGAACTCGAATTCGAGCAGATCACACGCCGTTTTTCAGATTATATTGAGAAAGTGAGCTCTCCTTTTTCGTTTTCGCTCTGTTGATATAGCTATGTCTATATAATTCAGGGACAAAAAATTATGGGGGAAATTCTCGTTGATAGATTTGGCGGGTAATGAACGTGGTCAAGATACTGGTAATTCTGATAAACAAACACGCCATGAGGGAGCGGAAATCAACAAGTCTCTCCTGGCCTTAAAGGTTTGTTTGTTGTTCTCCTTATTTCTGCCGAGCAAATTTTTCTTCATACAATATTAAAATTTCTACACGTATTTAAATTGTTGAGCTTACACGAGGTTGATAAACAGATTTATTCGGTTAACGTTTCGATGTTTTTGTCTTCATTAGAGCCAGTGATCCAACTCGTTGGTCCACAGTTGAATGCGCTACATTGAGAATACGAAAAACTGTGGACCACTGACTCGGATCATCGGCTGTGTTGAAGACGAACTGTGTTGAAGATCAACTTCATGTAAGGTCGGAAATTCAAACACATGTTAGTTATTCTGCTACCGAGGTTAAATGACGGTCGGTTCAAAATTGTTATGTTGTTGTTCTTGAGATCCTATTCCTGTTATATTTTTGCTACCTACGAAGAGTTATCCCATACTCTGTATCTCGACTTCTTATCAGGAGTGTATCAGAGCAATGGCTAAAAATAGCCAGCATGTCCCATTTCGGACGTCGAAGCTGACGTTGGTTCTCCGTGATTCCTTCATTGGAGAAAAAGCACGCACTTGTATGGTTCGTCCGTTTTGAAGTGATGCTTTTCAAAAAAAAAGATTGATTTATCTTAATTAGGTGCTTTTGAATGACACTGGATACTTTGTTTTCGTAAGATATGGTTTTTAAATGTGTTGTAACTTTAGATAGCAATGATAAGCCCTGGTATGTCGTCTTGCGAACACACAATTAATACACTGCGCTACGCAGATAGGTACGTTTTGTTCTGTTTTGGGGTTCCCTGGGGGGTATTGTTTCCCAGGCATAGCAGTCACCCGAGTAGTTCCAGTTTCTCATGTTTTTTCTAAATGAATTTTACCGGAGACTATTTTTTTCATCGCGTCATTTGCACGTTTCTAACTGCATCTTATGCGAAAAGCAAGAATAGAGGCTAAAGGCATCGAAACACGCGAGATAAGTGTTGAGCCTGTTGCGTAGCTTTCACCAGTTGTATGCGAAACTTATTAGGCGTTTCTCCTACAGTTGCACCAGTTTTTCTAGAGTAAACCTTTTCTGGATGCTATTTCAAATTTCATGTGAGATAGTTGAGTATCTCAGAACTTCTTACCTACAGAAGTTTAGGGTAAAGGAGCTTGGTGCTGACGAAGGCGGTAACTCTCCGCCGCTAGGAGATGAAGACCTAATGCTACGAGATGATGTGGCTGGTGATGGAAACAATGAAGATGCTGATCTTTCACTTGTTTGTAGTAGAAATGTGAGTCGATTTATATGTCATGAATATCGTTCAGTGACTTGCCATTCTAGGTGTTTCTATCATATTTGAACCTATTTTTAGGGGACGGATAAGACTACGTACGACATGATGAAAATTATATCAAGTTTGAATGCAGCCGAGGAAGATGCTTTATATAGTCAATACAACGTCGAACAGGTAATGAAATGAGTGACGTAATCATTCCAAAGTTGGAACTGAGTTATCAATCCTGAAATTTCTATATTTCAGAACATGAAGACATGGTTGAAAGAACTGGGAAATTTGCTTGCACGTTCTAACACGGTTGATTATGATACGGAAAAATATGTGCGGGATTCACTTGCTCTGGTTAAGAAGGCCACTATTTCTTTGAACGAGTGTATGGGTATGTTCTGTGTTAGTATTCCTTGTTAGTTGCTTCCTCACGTTATCCTCAATTATTTTAATTTGTAACTCAAGTACCTCCAAGGGTTGAGTTCTTCATTTTCAAATTTCGTTCTGCACAAGACGTTTAGTAGTCTTTTCCTACAATGCCGTTTTAGTAACAAAGCTTTGTATAAGGCTGCTCAGCAAGAAATATCAATGTTGGTCCTACAACAAAAAAGACTCTCGGTGGGCTACCGATGTATCGAACCAGTGCTGCCATCCTCCCAGACAAGCCTGGTACCAATTTGCCGACCTCGGAGGGATGGAAGGCTTAGTGAGCCATGGGCCCGTGGATCGATTCCACTTGTGTGTCGCAGTGGCACCTCCAACAGCCACACGCGCCCTTGTATGTATGTATATGCATATTAACATATGCATATATATATATAACATAGCTAATATATGTATAGTGTGTGTTATATATAGCATATAATATATTATATACATTATATGTTATACATATCACCTGTATCACCTGTAGTCCCGTTGATCGTCGAAGGACTCGAGCGGGCGCCAGTAAATCTTCCACTTTTCACTGTCGCGTGCCAGAGTAGCCCACTAGGTTCTGCTCGCTCTAGGGAATCGTCGAGCATCATATCTTTCGTGAAGGCCCTTTGTGAAGAACTCTGACCATCGTGTCGGTGGTCTTCCTGCAGTACGTTTGACATCCCGAGGAATCCAGTCACTAACGGCTCTTGTCCATCGGTTGTCATTCATACACATTTCGTGTCCGGCCCACCCTATCGTCGACTGCTTGGCGTACAGAATGGCATCTTTGGTTTTTGATTGTTGACGCAGCTCGAAGATTAGAATCTCTTGCCTTAGTTGTGTCATACGGGATACTCTTAGCATCGTCCTTTCGATTGCGCGTTCGATAACGCTGAGTGACCTTTCGTCCTGGTAACACAGCGACCAGGTTTCTGACGCAAACGTTAGGGCAGGAAGTACCGTTGGGACGGAGTCGGGTGTTCTTTGTTTTCTTCACTACATCCTCGATGCTCTTGAAGCTCCCTAAGCCGCCCGTTTCCTTCTGCTCACCTCTGTGCCTAGGTCCTTCATCATATTGATTTCCCGACCTAGATAGATATAACTGGAGCATTCGGAAATATTTGTTTCGTTGATCGTGAATGTGGCACGCGAAACCAATCTGTTGTTCATGAACACCGTTTTTGTGAGATTTAGTCGAAGACCAATATTTCCACAGGCTTTATCAAAGTCGTCAACCATACGTTCCGCTTGGCTAATGTTCGGCGTTATAAGGACGACGTCATCAGCAAAGCGAAGATGGTGTAACTGCCGACCGTCGATTTTCACTCCCATATTATCCCATTCCAATGTTCACAAGACGGTCTGGAGGGTGGCGGTAAATAATTTTGGCGAGATGGTATCGCGTTGCCTAACTCCTCTTTTGACGTCAATGTTAATAGCGTTGTAGAATGGTGATACCTTGGTGAAATTTTTGTACAGCTCACGAAGAATCTTTATGTACTGAGTAGAGATTCCTTGACTATCAAGGGCTTCCATGACTGCTTCTATCTCAACTAAATCAAAGGCCTTTTGTAAATCGATGAAAGTGAGACAGAGCGGTCTCTTGTACTTTCGCGATATTTCAAATGAGCCTTGTTACCGTGTGGATGTGGTCCATCGTACTAAATCGTTTTCGAAACCCTGCTTGCTCACATGGCTCTCCATCGTCTAGTGTTCTGTGAAAAGAGTGAAAAGTTTGTAGACGACGGACAGTAAGCAGATTGGGCGATAGTTGCCGATATCGTGCAGGTCACCCTTCTTCAACAACAGCACGGTTTTGCTGGTCTTTTGCTGAATAGGGACCTTATATTCGGACAGGTAACGTGTGAAGAACCGAGCCAGTGTGTTTACAAGGACTAGCGGAAGGTTCTTCAGGTGTTCTAGTCCTATCCTGTCCGGACGTGGTGCTGTTCGATTTCTCACCGACAAAATGGCTTGTCGGATTTCGGAAGGGGAACCAGTGGTGCAACAAATCCATCATCCTTTATTTCACATGACGGAAGGTGAACGTGGCTATCGAAGAGATCCAAGTAATATTCGTGAACTATTTCCTCCATTGCCTTTTTGGACACTGCAACTGTTCCGTCTGGGCGCCGGAGTACAATCGTTTTGGTCTTGTAATTGGCGAAGCTTCGGTGGGCTTTGCGAATGCTTTTCCCAGCCTCTGCAACTTCGACAATTACTGCTGCTATTCTCTCTTTACCATCTTTTACCGTCTGTCTGCATTGTTATGCAAGTTCGGACGTTACCTCGCTGTTCCCTGCAGCTCGTGCGATTCCGAGATGGCGTATCAGTTCGAGTGTTTCTGGAGAAAATCGTGTCTTGGTGACTTTCAAACTCTCAGCTTTCACAGCGCTTAGGTGAAGTTGTTGAATTAGCCGATGGTATTCCTCGTCGATGTTATCGACCATGGCATCTTCCCAACAGCCGAGTAATGAATTGAATAAGTCCCAGTTTGCGGTGGTTCTGGGACTTCGGCTTTTAAATTTAGCGGCTTTTCCCCTTTCCGCGAGAAATAGAATTTTGCACGATGGAGACGATGGTCCGGTCCCGTGTAGAATTTTGGGACAGCAGCGACATCGGTTAGGCAAAACCTTCTGTTTACTATGATATGGCCTATTTCGTTATGGTACTCTCCAATGGGTGCCACGTACAGCGCTGAGGGTGGGGCTTCTGGAATTGCGAGTTACCATGGATTGTCTTGGTTGCTATGATAAACTCAGACTGTCGCTCACCCTGTTAGTTCTATTCTAATCCATAGGTCCCAATGTGACGTTCTTCTTGGTCCAATCTCGGCGTTGAAATCTCCAGTAATGACCTTGAAGAATGTGTGGTCTTCTCTGTAGGACTTCTCCAAGTCCATATAAACCGCTTCGACTTCTTCTTCGTCATAGTTTGATAACGGCGCGTAAACGACGAAGATTGTCAAAGCCGGAATTGATCCACGTCTTTTTAATCGTAAACGTCCGACTCGGGTTGTAATTTGTTCGAATGAATCGATGTTCATGGACAAACTCGTGTTGACGAGAACGCCGCCACCGCCGACTCCTCTTATGTCGCATGTTCCGAAGAACATTTCTTCTCAAGTGTCATAGACGGCGTTGAAAGGCTGGCGTCTTCTCGTCTCGGCCAGGCCGATGACGTCGTACTTTATCCTTCTTGCTTGCTTAAGTAAGTCTTCTATCGAGGACTCGGATGCAAGTGCACCTGCATTGTAGGCACAAATCTTCACCATAGTTCTTTGAAATCCAGGCGGCTTCCATTGGCCCTGAGATTTTACCAGCCTCTCTTTACCAGTGTTTATCATTTTTGATACCCACGTATAGCTTGCTGGATTCTGAACGTGGGCGCTGGGTATGCTCACGGGTAGCTTGCCAAACTCTCCCAGAGTGGACATGAGGCTTATTTGTTCGAGGCGACTCCTAACCTCCTCCCATCTACTTCGCAGTCTCTTGATTGCAGGCTTTTGGCCGAAATGACTCGTAGAATACAATCCGCATAAGCAAAAATGCACCCACACACGCATGCATGAATACGCGTAGCAAATACAGAAAGTATGTGCCAAATACTACCTAAAAATACCTTTGAAACGTACCCAAATCATGGCACAGAAATTTTATCAGTCAGTCTTTTCTTTAAATATTCCAAGAGCAACGTTCGCGACTACCGTTGATTACCGAGAAATGCTATCCATAGCAGTCGTCATGTTGTAGAAGTGGTGATCCTGAAGCTGAATGAGTTTTGGTAGGAAATCCGAAAACCGATTTTCTGTCAACCTTGGAATTGTTCAGTTTTTTTTTTTGATGGGCAAACATGAGGTTGATAATGCAGAATTAATAAACACAGAATAGCCGACATTTCGGCGGTTTCATCTTCTTCAGATCCTGGATTGGGCATATTGGCATCCATTCTACTCAGCCAAATCACTTTCATAACTTTAGCAGGTAAAACTTGTCACATAAATTTGTATTCACCCAATAAACGACTTCTTTCAAACACTCATCGTTTTGTTTGTGATAAGTTTCCCAGTTAATTGGTGGGGATCGGCCGCACAGAGTTTTACATGGTCGAGGAATGTACCTGCTTCAGGTTATGGGGTCAGCCTGTGGTATGGCTCTAGGTCTTTCACGATCACAAAAAATCCTGCTTGCCGTTCATTTTTGGTTTTTTTTTTTTTTTTGAATTAACCCAATACACTTCAAGAGTTTTGCACGTTGATGTTTTGGCTTCCGGTTCGAAGATAGTGACTTTTGGTTCAAAATATTCGCCATTGTCTCTGTGTCCTATGTGCGCCTAATGGATTGTTTCGTTACAATTTAATTTTAGTTTTTTACTGCTGAAGTTTTTATAGTGTTTGGCCGAGTAGATTGCCTGCCATTTTGACCTTTCAAGGCTCTGTAGAAGGCGAAACGTCAGTTATTCTGTATTAATAAATTCTGTAATACCAACCTCGTGTTTGCTTACCAAGAAAAACAGTGAACTGTTGTGCACACCCTACTGAGCAGGACTGGCCGTTCTAAATAGTTGAACGATTTCTTCCACCAGGAGTCTTTGACATAACAAAAGGCAGTCAAAAAAGGCCTATGACGGCTTTGTCGGATCAGGAGGTCCAAGCTTTTATTTAGTTCCGATGTCTAGGTTTGCAGTGCATTAGCGAAAGTTTTTGAAATGTAATGGTTTCTACTTTCACAATAGAGTAGAATTTTATTAAATTATACTACTTGAGTTTTTTAAAAACTGAATCACGATCCGAATTGGACGTTTCATTCTGAATAGTCAACTACTATTTATCATTAGCGCATAACATTCCACACTAAGTCAGCAAATTTGGAATTCTCATTACAGATTAGAACACTTAAGACCTTTTTTTCTTATTTGAGTCTCTAGTGAGTTGACATCGCTATACGTGGTATCTGATGTTTAATTATCATTTGCTTTTTGAATTTACAGAGCGTCTAGAGAAATGGAAAGAGTTGCAAGTGAAGGAAGCTGAGATGTCCAGCAAAATAACAAGTAAGAAGAAGTAGTCCTGTTCTCAAAGCATGTGTGCAGCTTTTCATAGTCGCTTGTAATTTACTAGGTCCTCATATGGTCTGATATATATAATTTGTGATCTTCTTTGTGCATATTTCGTTTAGCCTGTATTACGCGTTCTCTGTGGTTATCGGGTTTTATTCTGAGTCTTCCTTATTCGTAAACATAAAACTGCTTGCTTTTTTAAATATTATTTTCAATTCGAAACAATAGATTATGTGATGTTGCGTTTACGGTGAATAGAAATACATACAAGCTTTACTAGAAATTATCATTGCGCTTTTCAAATAACTTTTAACTTATTATTTCCTTTTCCGGACACTTACTGCTAGTGTAATGACAAAAAAGGGAAAAGTTCCCGTCTTTATTTATTGCTTTTCTGAAGTAGCTCATGTTTAAATGCTTCACGTCGCTTGTGTTTTTCATGTATAACTCAAAGCACATCCATGCGTTGTTCCTGTGGCAGTTATAGTTGTAAACTCATTAACGATTTTCTATGTGAGAAAAGTTACAATGCAAAGTTTCCAGCTTTATTTAGAATAAATTTTCTTTATAATGTAGAGGATTTTATTCAAGTTCTGCGAATACTCAATTCTCTATTAAAGAATTTTATGAGCCTATTAGAAACCACATAGCTTGCGATGCGGATTAGACACAAATAGATGCGCAAGTTGTGCGCGAGATTTCTGAAAAATCGGCATAATTTCTTACTGTGGAAGTTAGTAAACTGAATGATAGGATGAAGGATAAAGTCCTCGGCGTTGATCAATTTCTCAAGGGTACGCCATGCATTCGATTTCATCAAGCTTCTTAGAGGTGAATGAATGGATATCTGGCCTTTACAGTGACTCGCGATGGCGTATGGATCTGTCGAGTCGGTGCTACTATCCTCCAAAATAGGTCTGTTACGAATTTGCCAACCCCGGGTTGATGGAAGGCTTGGTGAGATTGACGCGCGCGGTCAAACCCATGTGTATTGAAGGGGACTTCGAACGATTCCTGTACACGTGGTCTCCCATCGAAGGCTCTATACATGGGTCCACTCATTGTTGCGAGTGAGATCAACACGCGTGCTACCATATTCATTTATTTCAACACATTTGAGGCGACATCATCTTCGTACGAGTCCTAGATAGGCGGATATGGTGACCGATATGATCTCTGAAGAGGTCGTTCTCTATGTCTTATCTCATTTTGCTGTACAGAATCGTTTTCATACACTTCTTGCAATCATTAGCTACCTTATCCAACACATTGTAGCACGGTTCGGCCGAGAAAAGCTCTTGTCTACAATTAGAAGTATATATGGTGGCGTACCTATCATGTATATCTTTACAGGGATAGGTCAATATTCTTCCATGTTCTCAACCCACCAAGTCTTCTAATTGTCGAAAAACTATCGTCTGTTGGTCTGTTGACGGAAAACCGACATGTCCGCAAGGGTCGTAAATGTGGTCGAAATTAATCCATGCTTTCAACTTTAAACAAACATCAGTCAGTGGTGAACAAGTGCGATATCAATTTCTCAATCCCGGAGGAATGACAGGCTTGGTTGGCCCGGAGCGGAATCGAAGTAACACTATGCTCGTGACGACAGACATCACCACCGCTATGGTATCCGCTCCCTTACATATATGTATATATAATAAATATATCTTGTCTAAATCTTGTGTTAGCTGTGCTGTAACTTTTTTACGTTTTAAGCCATAGTATTTGTCTGTTATTATGTATGGTAGAGAGGTTTCCTGCTGTCTAAATTAGGTGTTTCCAAAGCAGCAGAAATTGGCTCGACCACTTAAAAGCGATGTTACAAGAGTAATCTAGTACGCTGTACTTTCCTCAAGAAGTTTAGTTTTAAGAGCACAGAGTTGTCGCCAATCTGCTGAATAAGCAGTGTATTTTTTAGATTGGTCAACTCACACAAGGTTATTATAAAATTTTTATTCAGCTAACTTTTCGCCGTCTTCGCTTTTTTCAGAGCCACATTGATTCGAGTAGATTTCCCACAGCCGTTAATTCCTGCGATGTGGGTTTCCGTAGTCGCATCGAGGAGTCAAATCGTCTCAAGTGGACCACCGCTTGAATGAAGAACCTCATTTGAGAGTGCCGTTTAACACAGGATGGTTGTTAATCTACATATGAAGACCGAAACCTCAGGAATGAACGGATGTTGACAATCGATTCGCATTAATCCAGCTCTGAATAAGGCGAAGTCGCTAAAACGTCAGAAAAATAAACATTTTATAACGATGTCGTGTATGCTGAACAATTCAAAATATATATCGACTTATACAAGGACAACGAAAACTTATGCCAACCTCGCATCAGCTTAACAAGGTCAGTTCATAAGAACATATAAAATAAATAACTACATCAACCACTAATGCCAAGGTTCATAAAAAATCGGTATTTTGAATCACATATCAATCATAAGTGTGTCATTTTCTTTTACAGCAATCGCGAGGTTGTTATACATCACTCGTTTACTTTCGTACAAAACACACATACAACCCAACAGTAGCCGACGTTTTTGCAATCTTTCTTCTGAGTCTGGAAGGGTATATTGATACGTAATTTACTAGGCTAAACGGCAATACTATATGCCTGTACTACGTTTGGCTTAACAAATCACGTATCAATATACCCTTCCAGGCTCAGAACAAGGTCACACTGCTGAAACATCAGCTACTGTTGTATTTCGTGCTTTGTGCGGAAGTAAACGTGTGCTGCATCACCACCTCGCGATTGTGAAAAAGAAGGCGGCCTATTCAGCCGACATCAATAGAAAGTCGATCGGAGGAACTACATATTATTCATGATGAGCCTAGGGGAGAGTCAGTTTACAAAACTATTTAACAAAGTTTCACTAAACCCTGACTAGGACTGGAAACAAAAGGCGTGATGGGTCTGCAGGTATTTTACAAAAAAGGCACTTAAATCGCGTTAATAACAGGACGCGTTTTAGGCTGAAAAACCTACTTGAACACCTAACATTGTTAGCTACATAATTGGGTTATTTGAGAGCTTCATCAGGAACTAGAGGATAGCAACTACAACTGTTCACTGTATTTTTCATAGAAAAACACGAGAGTGGTGGCTCATTCTCCATTGACGAATATGCTGAGGTTTCGCCTTCCTCAGAGCCTGGAAAGGTGAGGTTGACTGCGATTCACACTGCGGAAAATTGCCATAACCAAAACGGAAAAAAGTACGACACTGCGTATGTCACCTGGAGACCAACCGCACAATGTTCACATGGATGGGTAATGTGCCTCTTTCACACTAAAGTCTCAGTCTTAAACACTGTCTATGATCATGTGTAGTAACGGAGCATTCCTCTTCGCGGTTCACTTTTAGATTCTTTCTTGGAATTTATCCAGGATGCTTCGAGAGTTTTGAGCACTGAAGTTTTTGATATCCATGACGTGATGGTTATTTCTAATTGGAAATCTTTCCCATTATGTTTCCGTCTCGTATGCGCACCTAGTGGAATATTTGGGCTAACTGCGGGATGGTCTATCCGTTTCGCTAGTGTGTTTGCTCTCATAAAGGGATCTAATGCCGGTTAGTCGCGAGGCAGTATGGTGCGTCCTCAGTTGGTGGATAGGGAGTTGGTCGAGGACCAAAAAAGACATGCTTCTCTGACGGACAGGTGAATACAAAGATTGGACACCCTGCTTCTGTTGCGCGGATTTGCCTTCTGTGTTTACGAGGATATACTCGTGCATGCTTGCATTGGTGTGTTCTCGTTTACGCGAATTATATTCTACGAGTCAATTTGGCAAAAAGCCTGCAATTAAGTGACAGAGAAGTACATGGAAGCTGGTGAGGAGTCGCCTCCAAACAAGCCACTAGTCTATTGTGGGAGAGACTGACAGTTTACCCGTGAATATATCGAGCCCCACGTTCACAGATCAGATAGCCATGCGCGGGTATCGAACACTAAACGCAGTAAGTAGACCTCATTGCTCTGACCTAAAAGACCCCCGCGATACGACAGCGTTAGTTTGAACGAGTACCGAGAGGCTACCAAAAATCCCAGAGACATTCTAGGCTGCCCAAATTTCGAAGAACGGAGGCGACGATCTGTACCCGCAATGCACGTTCACTTGCATCTGAGCCCCCGATACAAGACTTGATCATGGTGGGATAAAAGACAAGGTGCAGCGTTGTCCGACTAACAGAGGCGACAAGACGCCACCTATCGAATCTCGATAACATCAGAGAAGAACTGTTCTTCGGAACACACGACAGGACAGAAGTAGGAGGCATCAGCGTTCTCGCCAATACGAATTTGCCCATGAACATCGATTCATTCGAACAACTAAACCGAATTGAACGTCTGCGATTGAATTGATGTGGATCAGTAATACAATAAGTATTCCCAGAATAGTCACTGTTCTTTCATTTTATCATGTGTTTGTTCCTACAGTAACCACATTCACTGCTCCTCATATCCCTTCGCGATCTTGTAGCATGCAAATGATTTCATTTCATTCTGAGGAACTTTGCTTGCCAAAGCAGTCTATGTTATGCAAACCTCTTTGTGCAATCAGAGCATTGTTTGACTAACCTATAGCAAAACCACTAACAAGCCTTACTCTCATTTATTGCTCATATTACCATTTTGCCGCCTATATTGTACATGTTCATATATCGTTGCTGTTGCATTATTACTGCTATATAAGGGTTTAATTATTCGAGTTTGAGGTATTTCTCTGTGACAACAACGAAAATGTACCGCATGGCAACTTCCAATAAAGTCGAGCATTCTACTTCCCTAGTGATTATTCGGTTCCGAGAACTGACTCGAAGCCCTAATTTTCCACTAACAACTGCTATATTCTGGGGCCATGGCCTGACTGCGATAAATACCGACTTTGACAATAATGATGAAGATGAGGTCGAAGGTGCCACATGGTTTTGGAGAAGTTCTACAGGAAAGACCACGCATTCTGGGACCATTCTCTGAGGTCATCACTGGAGATATTAA